GTATCACAACATTGAAGTATGTTGTTAATTTTCTGACATTTGATATCATAATACTATAATATGTTGTTTTAATCTTCTGTAGTACCTTTTTCTGGAGCATTTTATTTATTGTTCTGAATTATTTATTTATTTCTCTGTATTTTGTTGTTTACTCCTCTGCACAATGTTTTTTTTTATATTTGTTGGTCATAATTTTGAAATGTGTTGTTTATTCTTCAGAAGCCTTTATTTTTTCCTAAAGAATTGTTTTTATTTATCTAAATTACTTTATCTATCTGAAATATGCTTCTTCATTCTTGTTCTTTCTTCTGTATTTCGTCCCTACCCCCCAAGTGGCACAGCGGTATGTCTGCGGACTTACAACGCTAGAAATCGGGTTTCGATACCCATGGTGGGCAGAACACAGATAGCCCTTGTGTAGCTTTGTGCATAATTAAAAACAATCAAACTTCTGTATTATACCTAATTTTTAATTTTTTGTTTAAATAATGAAATAAGATGCCAAGTTTTATTTTGAACTTATTTTTAGTTGCTCGTAAAGCAAAGAGCCAATAAAATGCCTAGCTCGAACTATTTCAACTATCTACAGTTTCTTAAGTATTAATTTATTTATCCACCATAGTTACTAGGATAAAATGCACCAAGAAAGTTATAAAAACTATAGAAGGTATTGATCCAATAGAATATTCTTATTGTGGTTGTTTGTCACATAACACTGATAGTGTCCACTGGTGACTAAAATTTGGAGTTTGGTCCTCGCGGTGGATACATCGCAGATAGCCTATTGTGTAGCTTTGTACTAAAATAAACTTCAAGGTGAAACTTAAACCAAATTAACACAACGACAATTGTTATAGTGTGAACGTCTTTTCTAAGTTGGAAAAGCATAATTATAACGAATTATAGTTGTCATAAGACATTAACATTAGGCTTGTTGTGTTTGTAGCACTACATTCATTATTCGGTCTCTTATGGTTTTTCAAGGAAAAGAAGAAAAATATTGTATAATAGTATTGAAACTATATTATGTCTACCATATCCATTTCTGACTACTCGTTCGCTCTCGCCATAACAAATGCTGTTTTAACAAAGGGCTTATATAATTACTGTGTTTGTTGTGTACCACCGAGACTGATGAGCTCCGTATTGAGAGAAACGCGTCGTCTGCAAAGGATATGAGAGACATAATGTTGTTGAAATACTCTTATTTTCCTTGAAAAAACCTTAAGATATAGAATAAAGAATGTAGTATTAAAAATATAATAGGTCTAATACTAATGTCTTATGACAAATATAGTTAATTATAATAATGCTTCGACAGCTTAGAAAAGGTTTTAACAGTTGTTGTAACAAATGGCTTATATAAATAGTGTTCCAACCACTACTGTGTTTATGTGTACTAGCCGGACTTATGAGCACTCTACTGAGGAAAACGCACCGTCAGCAATGAATATGAGAGACATGGTGTTGTTGAAATATTATAATGGGCCTTTCTTCTCCTTGCAAAACCCTAAGTGGCTAAATAAACAATATAATAGGCCTAATACTATGGCCTTATGACAAATATAGTTAATTATAATAATGCTTCGACAGCTTAGGAAAGGTTTTAACAGTTGTTGTAACAAATGGCTTATATAAATAGTGTTCCAACCACTACTGTGTTTATGTGTACTAGCCGGACTTATGAGCACTCTACTGAGGAAAACGCACCGTCAGCAATGAATATGAGAGACATGGTGTTGTTGAAATATTATAATGGGCCTTTCTTCTCCTTGCAAAACCCTAA